TGTTTTTACATCCTTCGGATACGCCCAATCTTATGTCGGTTACATATTTACTCGGAGGAGAGGATGATTACGGTTCTTGGAGTAAAGCTATGATGATTTCTTTGGAAGCTAAGAGCAAGGACGGCTTTGTTACTAGAAAATGTTCTAAACCGGGGCTTGATTCTCCGGACTATAAGCAATGGAAGAAATGCAATGCATTAGTTCATGCTTGGATATTGAACTCGGTTTCCTCACGGTTGTTTAATAGATCGGTTTACTATCAATATGCGAGAGGAGGTATGGAAATATTTGAATGAGAGATTTGACAAACAACATGGAGCAAAAATCTTTACATTACATAATAAGATTAATCTGTTAGTCTAGGGGTCCGATAGTGTTATCGTATACTACTCAAAACTCGGACGACTATGGGATTAAAATGATTCGCTAATTTCGACCCTTACTTGTATATGTCCAAGTCGTAGAAGTGAAGTCACTCAACCATTTGTTGAATATACACAGCAACACAAAATGATGCGGTTTCTTATGGGTTTAAATGAGCGATGCACGGACCGTGAGGTCACAAATTCTATTGATGAATCCTATGCCTACTCATTCTCAAGCTTATGCAATGATATCGATTGAGGAATAACAAAGAGGAATTTCTCCATATCCGGAGGTTCGTACGGCCTTTTACTCTGCTAGACCTAGGAATCGGTACCAAACTAGGCCATTTTCCGATAGAAGCTTTTGGCACAAGGAAATGACTAATGAATACAATCATATTTTAGGACACACCAAGGATACTTGTTATAAATTGAATGGATATCCAAGTGCACGGAAGAAATTTACTAGGCATACTAGGGGCGGACAAGGTGGTAATAGCTCTCACTTTGTAGGAGATAGACGAGAGAGTGTATAATGTTCACAATGTTAGTTATATGGGACATGATGCAACTTCCCCATATCCTCATTCTAAAGAGCATCATTATGGGGTACAATCGACCAACATGATGACATCTCCTCCTATTTTTTCACACTCACAAGTATCGCAAATATTGGAACTATTATCCAAAAATTCATCATCGAAAGGTCTTCTCCCACCACCGAACCAACCGTAAACATGGCAGGTGAATTTTTTTACGATCTAATTGATGTTGCATCTTATAATGATAAGTGGATTATAGACACGGGAGCTAATGTGCACATGACTGGTTCATTCACTTGTTTGGATAATCCTAGGAAATTAGTTTCAAACTTTATTGTGAGATTACCTAATGGTACTCAAACTCGGGTCTCTCATATAGGATCAGTTTCCTTTCTACACATTATTCTTCAAGATGCCTCATACATTCCCGATTTCAAATTCAATTTGTTGTCGATCACCAAATACACCACCGACAACGAGTTGTTTTGTTTCCTTTTATCCTTATTTACGCCTATTTCGGGACCTCATAACTCGGGAAGACAAAGGGGATTGGTAAAGTTAAAGATAGTCTCTACCATCTCTAATGTAACTTTTCTTGTTTTCCGTCCGATAATGCTTGTGTCAATAATTTTTTTTTAGTGTCTTACAATACGGCTAATTGTAAACCTTCATCTCATTCAGATAATGTCACATTTTGGCATAAACGTTTTGGTCATATATCTCGTTTCCAAACTTTAAATGGTTTCGGCCTTTCCATTCCTCATGTTGATTTATCTTGTGAGATATGCCCTCTTGCTAAACAAGTGAGACAATCTTTCCCGCTTAGTACTTCGTTTCTCGAGCATTTTTTACCTTATTCACATAGATATCCGGGGTCCCTATAAACATTCTACATATAATCGGGAGAAGTATTTCCTCTCCATTGTAGATGATTTCTCAAAGGGAACATGGACCTTTCTTATGCCAACAAAGTCCCAAGCTTTTTCCTTACTCAAACACTTTTATGCCATGATTCAAACATAATTTTCTTGTACTGTTAAGAGAATTCATTCGGACAGAGGTTCTAAATTCCTGCAACGAACCTGTCAAGATTTCTTCTCATCTAAAGGCATAATTCATGAAACTATCGTACCTTACACCCCACAACAAAATGGTGTTGTGGAGAGAAAACACGAGACATATATTGAACATAGCCGAGCCATTATGTTTCGGTCCCATCTACCTATTCGGTATTGGGGAGATTATGTTTTGACATCCACCTATCTTATAAACAGAACACCTACTCCATTGTTACATGGTAAAACTCCCTTTGAAATGTTGTTTCATAAGCCTCCTAACCTTTCTCATCTTAAAGTCTTCGGATGCTTATGTTATGCCAAAGTTCTCCATAATCCCGATAAATTTGCTCCTCATTCTAGAGCTTGTCTATTTTTAGGATGCCCTTATTCCCAAAAAGGATATAAGGTCATGGATTTGAAGACTCATCGGATGTTTGTTTCTAGAGACATTATTTTCCATGAATCCGTCTTTCCTTATAAAAGCTCATTGGTCCTTTCTACTCGATAATTCCCATTTTAATCCTTCCACTCTTGTTTTTCATTGGCCATATGATGATGATTTTGCATCCAATTCATCACCCCATTCCATACCTCCTTCCTCCAGGTAATCCTCCTCTCTCCTTCCCTTTTGACATTGTCCCCTCCGGTTCTTTACCTTTTGTCTCTCCTCCTTCTCGGTCCCTTACTCCTATATTCATTCCTCCAAGAAAATCTTTTAGGCCTTCTAAAACTCCTGTTTGGTCCAAGGATTATCATTGTCCTACTCCGTCCCATTCTAACACTCGTTCATTTTTCTTCTGCTGTCGACCATCCGATATTAACTTCTTTTAATATCTCTTCTCTTTCTCCTTTTCATATAGCATTTCTAGCCTCTATTTCTCCTATTGGGGAACCTAATTCATACTTAGAGGCCATGAAGGATCCCAAGTGGGTTGAGGCTATGTCCAAGAAAATCCAAGCACTTGAATTAAACCATATATGGGTTCTAGTTCCTCTACTCGCTGGACATAAACCTATAGGTTATAAATGGGTTTATAAGGTTAAATTCCATTCGATGGCAATATAGAGAGGTACAAAGCCAGAGTTAGTGGCTAAAGGCTACACTCAATAAGAGGGAATTGATTATGGAGAGACTTTTTCTCCTGTGGTAAAAATGGTTACTTGTGAGGACCATCATTGTTTTAGTTCGCCATTCATGCTTGGCCCATTTTTCGGTTGGATGTTACGAATGCCTTCTTGCAGGGAGATTTACATGAGAAAGTTTATATGGAGTTACCTCTTGGACTTGGCAATTAGGGGGAGCATGTTGTATGTCGATTGCTTAAGTCTCTCTACGGCTTAAAACAAGCCTCACGATAATAAAACTCCAAATTCACTAAGAAAATGATTGAAGCTGGCTTTATTCAATCCAAACATGATTACTCAATGTTCATGAAACACACAAAAGGTAAAAAAAAGTCCTTTTATTGGTTAATATTTTGATCACGAGATATGATATAGAAGGGATCAATAACCCGAAAATGTTCTTGCATGACAATTTCTATATAAAAGACTTGAGATACTTGAAGTACTTTCTAGGCATTGAAGTTGATAGATCAAAGAAAGGGATTTATTTGAATCAAAGGAAGTATGTTATGGAATTACTACAAGATGCTTTGGATTACTTGGTACAAAGCCGGTAGAAGTGCCCCTAGAACGGAACTTAAAACACACTACTTGCTATGATGAAGTACTAGAGCATGAATGTTCGGATACTATTACGCCTAATCGAGTCGAGTATCGGAGGTTAATTGGCAAGTTAATCTACTTGAAAATAACAAGACCGGACATTTGCTATATTGTCTAGATTCTAAGTCAATTTGTGCACCGACCAAAGACATCTCACATGCACTCGGCCTTAAGGATACTTAGGTATCTTAAGGGGAATTCAAGACTTGGGATTATAATGTCATCTTCTAGTGACATGAAGCTTAGAATCTTTTGTGATTCGGATTGGGCGACTCGCCAAATATAAAAAAATCTCTAACGGGTTTCGTGTGTTTCTTGACAACTCGTTATCGTCATGGAAGACTAAGAAACAAAATACAATCTCTCAATCCTCAACTAAAACAGAATATCGAGCAATGACCTCGACCACTTGTGAAATGATTTGATTGATGAGGATGTTAAAAGAACTAAATTTTACGAGTCCGAAACTAGTCGAAGTTAATTATGATAATAAGGATGCACTACATATTGCTTCGAATCCGATTTTTCACGAAAGGACCAAGCACGTAGAGATAGATTACCACTTGGTTCGTGAGAAACTCGAAAGAAGGATTAATCAAAACCAAGTTTGTCAAGACTAGAGAACAACTTGTTGACATATTCACCAAGATTCTTGGCAGTAAATAACACCAATTTCTCCTATCCAAGTTGGGGGTTTATGACTTATTTAAACCTCCAACTTGAGGGAGAGTATTAGAAGTATATTTAGTTGTACAATTAGTTAGCCAGCTATATAGTTAGTTAAGTAGTTAGACACGTATAGATTGTGTTGAGAAGTAGAGGATAATAGCTCATACATGTGTATATATACTGAATGTATATTTGTGTAGAGGATATACTAAATAATAAATAGACTTTTCCAAATTTGCTTCTGCTAATAGTAGAGGAGGAAGAAGAAGAGTTTAATTATTCGTTATAGTTTTTCTCCTCTCTTTTTATTTTCAATAGTATTATCCTGGACCACAAAAAATAATAAGATACTCGTTCTCTATCTCTACTCCACGTTTTTATAATGCTTATCCAAAACTAATTTCATGAATCTAGTTGCATGAATGAGATACGGAATTTTGGAAGTGCTTGATTTCTTGGAGAGGGTTTTAATGGAAATCATGTTAAACTAGTGAATATAAATGCATTAGAACTTCTAGAGAAGTTGGATGAGGAGGATGATGACGATGATGTAGAAGATGTTGTAAAAGAGGTCGAAGATAAAAAGGTTAGCGAAGAAGGGAAAGTTGAATTCGAAGTGGAATAAATCGAGAGTCAAGATGAGGGCGAATTGCATAAGGGCAAGGAAGTCGAGGCCAGAAGCCTCTTCAAATGATTGGAGTCCAAATGTTTAAAGATTCTAATCAAACTAATGTAATGTCAAAAAAATCAAGAAGAAGAGTTGCTCGATCGGTTATAGTAGTATAAGAATCCATCATCATAAAGTCGCCTTTTTATTTCATTTTTCTTTCTTTTCATTTTATGCATCTTTATCAAGTTGATTGTCTTATAGCTTTTGAAACTTCTCTTTTTATTAAAAAGAAAAAATCTCTTAGGTTAGTGCTTTCTATGGGGATTGATGTGAAGCATTCCTTATGTGTAAGGTTTCTTGTCAACAAAAATCTATGAACTTGATCAAAAAATTTTGCTTGATAGGTTTTATGTACTATTAAAGGTCAAATTAATGTATGCATAAAAAGAAAAAGAATAAATATTTATTATTTCACATGATAAGATAACGATGATGACAACTGGTTTCATGAAGATATATCTAAGGCTTTCAAGGAGATGAAGAACATGAAACTTTTTGATGTTGAAGACACATATTTAATAGACGATGCTTGGGATTGGACATGGGAGAGAGAAATAAAGAAGAGGCCTCTCTGAGGTGGTCACAAGAATTGGAGGTTGAGTTATTTTTAGAAGCATTGGCCAACAAAAAGGAAAGGCACCATTAAAGAAGAAAAAGGGGGTTATGGGGAGCAATATAAGCAACTACGAGTCATAATCCATATAAAAATAGATACATACCTTGGAAGTGAAAAATTGATGAAAAAAGCAACGAGAGGTAAATGCTTAAAAAGAATCATGTAATAACCGAATGTTTTGCTACAAAAAATAATACTAATCATAACATGTCACATGTAGCCATGATAAAACAAATGTCCATTGATCATATTCGCTTCCAAGTGATTTCTTTTATTATGTTTTTATCAGCACCTACTATGTTTAATCTTCCACATCCATCAATTTATAGCTTTATTTTTTATACCCGAGATCATTTTTGCTTTTTCCATCCTACGCTAATTACTATTAACTTTTATATAACAAATATTAGTATAGCTTTTTTTTTATTTTCATTGGAATCAAAAATTAGGGATAACAATTTAATAGTTGATTTAGTTGCACCTTAAACTAAGTCTTAGAGTGTTAAAAAAAAAATTGCATCCATCCCGCAACGAAGCATGGGTTAAAATCTAATACTATACTATTATTCAAAGCAAAGGAAATCCTAAAACTATATCTTAGTAATAAACACGCAATCGGAGAGCAATGTGCAATGCAAATGAGGAAAAACAAACATTTTTTTAACATAAAACTTTGATAAGTACATCAATCAACTAGTCGATCCGGAGAAAAATACTTTTATCATGAAAAAAAAAGAATAAATTTATTGATATACAATAATACTTCTTAAAAAAAAAATAGTTTGAATCGAACAACAAAGTAATATAAAAATACCTTTTTCATGAATAAAAAAGAAAAAAAGAAAAAAAAGAAAAGAATGAATTCACTGTAATAATACTTCTTCTAAGCAAAACGACAATGAGGGTAGGAATTATACGGGATCATGATTGCCCGTATCATTTATTTAAGTTTGAATGAGGATACAAATGTCATTGTAAGATTTTTATTATTTTTTCTTGCATCTTGTTGTCTGGTTCTTTCTAGCCGTCCTCAACCTTGTCCTTTCTTTTCCATAGCATGTCGACTTTGCCAACAAAATAAAGTTTAATCTTTTTAATTTAATAAAATGAGTAAATTTAAAAATGTAGTAGTCAAGGTGGGGCCTCTTTTCTAGTAGTCTGCAGTGGCTTGTCTAAAGGTACAAGTTGAGTACTACTACCAACTAGCAGTAATCAAATGACAAATGTTGTGGTCAATTTCTAGTTTTCAAACAAAATTGGCATTTGCTTATATATATATATATATATATATATATATATATATATCCATGGTGGATGCAGGATATTATAATATAAATCAAATGCAAGAGATTAATTTAAATTTTTGAATCTGAGAAACCTTTGAAATAAAATAAAATAAATCTTAATCAGTATAATCTTAATTATAATTAATTTACTAAAATATCAAACAAGTGTCATATTTAGCTTCTAAAAACCAAAAAGGTAACATCAGTTTCCAATTTCAAGTCATAATTAATTTATGACTTGAACATTTAGTGGCGAAGATTCAGGGTCTTCCACGTGACGCAACACTGTGAGGTCCGTCCCTAGATTAGAATAAAAAAGAGATTTTTTTATTTTTTTCATCCCGATAAAAAGCAGTTTGATCCAGAAAACAAAAATAAATTTGCTTTTCGAGTCACCACAAACGTACAAAACAACCCCATGTTCTATTCTGAACCTATCTTCTGCTCCACTTTTGTTTTTACGAATATCTTTATATTTTTTCAATTTTTGGAGATAGAACTTTCATTAGTAGCATTTTCTTTCTGTTTTCCTTTTCAATTTGATCCAATGGGAGTATATGATGTTTCACCTACCTTCCCTGCCTCACTGAACTTGTGATCTCTCCTCCTTTATTAAGAAAGTTAAAGCATACATACATTTCCTCCCTTTAATGCTTTTTTAATTTTATTTTATATATTTAGTCCCACATTTTCTTATTTGCTTATTCTCTCATTTTCTGAAAAATTTCCACTATTAACTCGTTCTTAATTATTTAGTTGCCACATTCTTGTACCGTTCAAGATTCACACAGCTCCTTAAAAACAACATTGCCCTCTCTTTCTTGATTTGCTTATTTTTACTCCCTTCTCATCATATAAATTTCTAAGCTTTATTCCCCATCTGGGTTCCCTTCAAAACTTGCAATTTTGATCTGGGTTTTTAATTTTGTATTCTATGTTTTATGTGAATCTTGGGTTGTTTATAGTTGAACTTAGTGTAATAGTTTGTGATGTCTCGTTCCAAATCAGAGCCGCCTAGTTCTTGCTCAACAACTTCTTCTTCTTCTTCTTCACAATCACCTGTAGCTTCAACTGAACTGAAGCTATACCAAGCTTTCATCTTTTCTGTTCCTATTTTCTTCACTTTCATTCTCCTTTTCTTGTTTTATTTGTTCTATCTTCGTCGTAGAAGGGTTGATTGGGCATCTCTTAGAATGCGAACTTCTTTGCAAGATAACAACAACAGTGTTGACTTCTCTAGAGTAAGATAATTTTTTTTTTTTTTGGCCCTTTGTATGCTTTTATGCAATTTACGTGTATGTGTCTGTGTATGTACAATGTCAATTTGGTTATGTACTTTTGGTTGTGATTTAGCAGGTTGAGATGGGTTTGAAGAAAGAGTTGAGAGAAATGCTCCCCATTATTGTATACAAGGAAAGCTTCTCAGTCAGAGATACACAGTGAGTAAGCTTTTCTTGATTTGTTTTGTCTTTCTTTTTTTATAATATTTTCTCGTTTGTTTTTAAAAATTGGTAGACTTATGATTCATGATACTTATTATTTTGCTTTTGCTTTTGCTTTTGCTTTATAAATATATTTGAATCATAATCTTATCAATACATGCATATGTTTAGGAGCTTTTAAGCTTATATATAAAAAGAAACAACAACACATGCTACTGGCTTTATATGCTGAGAGTAATGGAGGTGGGAGTATTTTAAACTGAGTGGAATTATGGTGCCTTAGCATAATCATTTTCAGCATGCATCTTTTTTCTTTTTTTCGTGTTAGGGTTTATTTGCTGCAAATAGCAAGTGCCTAATGTTCATTTGGTGTTGTCATTACAGATTTACAATGTGATGGAGTAGTTGTTGGCCATGTTACTGGTTAGCTTCTATTCAGTCCACTTATGAACTTTTGAATTGAGTATTATTTATCATTTGGAGATTTCATGGCAAAGAATACTGTTAATGATTGTGTTATGTTGTTACTCCAATGGATTAAATATATTTAAAAACAATGACAAGAAAAGAAGGTAAGATTAAGTTTTTTATGTTCTGTACAGCATATGATGATTGAGGGATAATTCTTGTACAAATTAAATCCTATATCATCACTATATTTTCTAATCGAGGGAAAATTTCTAATATGAATTCAGCAAGTAGTTGAATTTGTATTCTTTTGACTTTGTAGGCATTATTGTCATATTTTAACAAGATTGAAGCATTGGTATTGCTCACGTGACAAACAAAGTGAGGGGATCAAATATGGTCTTTTTATTTGGATCCTGCAAGCCCATTTCTTAGGAAACCATTGTGTATATATATATACAGAAACTAAATAGAAAGGTTTCATAGTTTACCTGTATCCATCTCAAGATAGCTTGAGCCACTATGATGACAATCAATTTACTATGCTCACAAAGCAAGGGGCTCTGAGATGCGGTCAAAGGGTCCTCTATGAAAAGTAAGGAAGATCTGTAAATATGATCCCATTATATCACGGAAAGTATAGATAAAATGGATGTTTCATATCATGAAAAAAAAAAAAAGTGTTGTACCTAACATTCCCTATTTACAAAGCTGGCCTAACTAATGGTGTGCATCATTGTCCATGAAAAAGGAAAATGGTGTACTTCAACCTTTTAAAGTGGTTAGATTTGGGGCTTTATGCATCTGCAGGCGGAGGAAGGGGCGACGTGGCACATGGTCCAGCCATAAGTGAAGATTTTTTCTCATGTCATTGTGCTTATAGTCTTGCATAAAGGAAGTTAGCTCCAAATGAGTTCTTGGGTCTATTTCATTTTATCATTGTCCAAGTCTGCTCTGCAATCACATCTGAACGAGTTACTTTTAAGTAGCACAATACAATCTGCAACCTTATAGTTTAATTCTTTATATTCTATCGTGTATCTGGAAATAATTGTGTGAGAGAATATACACAGTGCTCTTCACAAATATATATGTAGTCTTAAATATTTGACATGTATGCTATATGACTAGACCTCTTTGTGTTAGCTCATGACATTAGCTGACCTTGATTAATGACATTCAGAGGGGTTTCATGAATTAATTCTTGTCCAGCTTTTATTTTATATATGTTACCTAGAAGAGGGATTTATTTCTCAAATGCCTTGGAAACATATGATGGAATTGTATGTTTTGTACTTTTACGTTTAGTCAATGCCTGAATTGTTGGGATTTTAATTTGAAGGTTGTTAAGAAGAATTCCTATACAACAATTTTGCTATATATACTCTATGTTGTTCCTTGATTTTGATGAGAGCTAAATCATATACAAGGAAAGATTATCAATTTTGTGGCTGCTTGGATAAGGGCACAGGCTTATGACATTCCTTAATTTTGTATGCAGTGAGTTACAGCTGTTTTTTTTTTTAAAAAGAAAAAACAAAAACAAATGAACTAAGATTTTGAAGACATAATGCACATACAAACTCACTTATGAGCTCAAAAGACATATCTATTGTCTACTATATACGATGGCAAATATCTTCACTCAATGACTAAAAGGATAGGGAAAAATTGACAGTCGATACTTTGCTATATTACATCTTAAAAGGCATGAGGCTGTAATTTAGAAATTGCAAAAACTATAAGAGCATTTAATTCTGAGCTTTGATTTTCTGATGAGGGGCTCACTTCATGAACATAGATGCCCAGTATGCTTGGGGGACTACCTAGCTGAGGATAGGCTCCAACAAATACCTGCGTGTGGCCACACATTTCACATGGACTGCATTGACCATTGGCTTGCTAACCACACTACCTGCCCCCTCTGCCGTCTTTCCCTCCTTGCATCTGCTAAAGTTCCTGGTGAATCACCTAGCAATCAAGTAGAGACTGTTCTGGAATCTTCTGCAGCAGAGAATGGTGGTGAAGCATCTGTTCAACCAAGGGCAGAGAGTTTTGAAGAATCTCAAGCTACACAACTCTCTCAGTCAATGGATGAAGACTCTGGGACTCTTCAAAACAGTGCTGGAGAAGAGCAAAGATCAGAATGTGCTGATCAGGGGAGAGAGCTCAGGGTTGCAAGGCATGAAACTGAAGAGCATGAGAATAGTAGAGATTCTTCTGGTACTCACTGCAATTTCTTGGATTTTTTTTTTTTTTCGCCACAAATTTTAACTTACAAGATCTGATATTCCTAACAAGAGCTGTTTCTGTTCTTGTTCATTCTCTACTTGCAACATCTTGTCATTTGACCAACTTACATTTTAATATCATGACGATTCTGGAAATCTATACCTATTTTTTTTTGTGTTGACTCACATAATTATAGATATAATTTCAGGATCAGCTCTGCACTCATATTACAAGCCTGAGAAAATTTTGAGAAGTTATGGAATTCTCTTTTTATTGTTTCTTAGCAGCTCAATGTCATGCATAAAGTGAGATAACGAAGCTGATGATGCCCTTCGCGGATCCGTTGGCCGGCCCCTTCATATTCCTCTCCAAGCAAGAAGAGGAGTCGCTCAAAATGGAGGTTGCCAGCCTCAGCCTGCCAGGTCCATTGTTTCTCGTTATGAATGGAAAATCTGCATATGATCAACCTACCAAGATGAGTTTCTTTTGGCATTGCATCATCCTAGGAGGGAGTCATTTTGTCCATAGAATCGCTATCATCAATGCATGGATGGATGTTGTGATATGGAAGCAGGGCATTGTATAGCTGACATCTGTATTTCCGTTATGTGCCGTTTTAGCCTGTGTAATTTATCACGAATTGTTTAATGTTCCTATGTATAAAGAATTGATGGACTCTCTTCATAATATGAAATGGTGAATACATGTACGCTTGAGCAATTAAGCCATGATATAATTTTCATAATTTAGATCTAAAAGTTTCTTGGAAATCTAATAATCTGTGCACTTTTTTCTTTTTCTTATTCCACGTAATGGTATTTGCGAGTCGATTCCTACATCAATTGCGACAAAGTCTTTTTTTGAATGATCTTTATGGTGTATGTTTTATGCTAATTTGATGTATTCAGAATAATTTAATAAATTATTTTAATTGTATTGATTTTAAAATTTAAATTCAAAAAAATCTTAGACATTAATGTTACAAAGTACAGAATAAAATAATTTTTATATTAATATTATAAAAAAGAGTTGAAACATGAGTTAATATGGCTTATAATAATAATAATAATTCAATTTGGAAATAATTATTGAACTTTTTAGAGAGTGAAGTTCTAACCTCTCTAAAAAGAACCCCTCTCCCTTTAGATTTAGGGGATGTTGCCGGCCATTTTTTTGGCCAGTGGCCAGCCCCAAGGTTTTTTCTTTTTCTTTCCTCCCATTTTTGTCTTTTCTTTTCCGTTTAATGAGTAATATATATATATATATATATATTATGGCTGTTGAAGTCCAAATAATATCAGATTTATATCCTTTTTGATCTTAAATATGTTGATTTTGAGAATTAAGTCCTCAGTTATTGAGGTTTGGTTCCCTTTTTAAACGGTTTTTTATTTTTATTTTTATTTTTATTCATCTATTGATTGTTTTGAAAATTTGTTTAATTATCTATGGTGGAGAAGAGCATGAATCTTCGGTTCCAATAGAATCTTTAGAGGTGGAGTCGTTATTTTTGTTGTTGGAAAAATCCATTGGCACAGGTTAACAATTTTGATTTTTCCTTCAATAGAGCTTAATAATGCAGCATGCTCTCCATTGGTTTGTGGTGGGTGGTTGTTCTTTTTGCTCGTAATAAACAAGAAGAAACCTAAAAAGATAAAGTTTGGAGAGGTCATTTGGAAGTCCATAAAATGAAAAGGAGAAGATGCTACCCAAAGGATCATTTTATATATATATATTTGATCTTCGAGTACAATTCAGATTCAAAAACCCAAACTAATCCTATATTATTTTGTCATGCACATAAGACAAGACCGATAACCAAAAAGTTTTTTTACATACACAAAGATTTGAATTGAAAACTAATTATTTAAGTGAATTGAACTATTTCCATTCAAACTAATCTTCTTGAATGTAATGTATTATTTAATATAACAATTGTTTTGCACACAAACGCACTCAACTTTCATATTTGTGTTTTTTATATGTGTTTCATGAATTTAATAGTGTACTTGTGCTCTTTTTTATTATCAATGAAATTATATTTTGGATCAAAAAATAATGTCATCAAAACTTATAATGCATGGATTTTTTCTAACATCTAAGTGTTATTTGGTAATGAAAAATAAAATGGTGGGAATTCAAGTGAAAATTTTATTCTCATTTATAAGTGTTTGATTGAAAAAATAAAGTAAAAATAAAAATAAAAATCAAACTTTTTTTCATTCTAATGAGAAAGGTGGAAATAAAAACAAAAAATGAAAATGAGATTTTTTTTCCTTTAAAATAGTATTTATTATTGTGTATCAATTACTTCCACCACCGATACTACTATATTACCACTACCACCACCGTTAGTGGAGGTAACAAAAAAAAAAAAAAAAAGGTGTAAAAAAATACTATTATTATTCCCTCACTACTGTTCATCTTGTACCACTATTAAAAGAAACTAAAAGGCGTGGGATGTTTACTATTTTTAGACTGTTCGGCCTCATCCATTGGCATTGTGGACCGAGGTTTTTTTTTTTTTTTTTTTGCCTTTGTGTTTATAAGTAGCCTCCTTTTTTCTTTTAATTACTATCACTACCACTCGGTGGATTTATGAAAATTTATAATTGCCCTTGATTGATTTTCATTTTCATTTTCTTCTTTAACCCTTTTTCGTCATTTCACTTTTCTTCTTTTCTTCTGCATTATAAAAGGTCTTCTATTTCATTCTTAATTACGTTTATTTCCACTCGGTGGATTTGTGAAAATCCACAATCGCCCTTAACTCGATTCCCTTTTTTTATTTCTCTTTTAGCCCCTTTTTTTTGTCAATTCACTTTCTTTTTTGACAGAGCATTTAATGCTGCTTGTCATTGCCTTTTTTCTTCGTCATTTCATAGGAATGAGTAAATTACCATTCTAAAATAAATTATAAATTAGTCCCTCTTTCTTAGTAAAACAAATTAATTAGTCCATCCGATTTTAAAAACTAACGTTTTGTCCTTTTTTTCACTTTTTTTTTTAACTTTTTGTTTTAAGAAATAGAAAAAAAAGATAAAAATATAAAAAATATTGATGAGAAAAAAAACATTTTAAAAAATAAAAAAGAACAAAAGCGTTAGTTTTTGAAATTAGATGGACCAATTAAATTGCTTTCCTAAGGAAGAGAGACAAAGTTATAATTTACTCTAGATAGCAATTTACTTATTCCTACGAAATAAGGAAGAAAAAAAGAAAGGCAAGCTACTTTCCTATGAAATCGGATGGACCAATTTTTTTTTTCTTTTTTGTTTTAAGAAATAGAAAAGAAAAAAAATAGATAAAAATATGAAAAAGATTAATGAGAAAAGAAAACAATTTAATAAAAAATACTAAAACAAAATGAGTTTTTACTATTCATAATACTATTCACATACTCACAAAACACTATTTGCATACTCATAAATCACTATTTCTTTTATTATTAATGGCATTTTTTTGATACTCGTGATACTATATATATATATATATATATATATATATATATATATATATATATATATTTCAAACTTCAATTGTATTGTGATTTGATCTCATTTTTTTTAATTACCTATCTTATTTAAAATTTATTGCTTTAGTTTGTTATTTTTTTTAAATTCTCATTAAATTAATTTAAAATTATATTTTACTCGGCAATTTTGATTTATTTTTCTATATGTATGGATTTTGGAATAAATTTTTGGAATATGATTATTTTTTCTTTTTAAAAATACATTCATATGATTTTTAAATTATAGTGGCATAATTAATATATATAATTTTTCTAAAATGCATTTTTATATTAAAAATGTATTTCAAAAAATGCAAATTAGTTAATTAATAATTGAAAGTCAAATGTGAAAAATAAAAAAAAATTATTACTTTGCGCATAAGGCTTGTATTCAAGAACTAGTTATGTATAGCATAAAAATAAAAAATTATTTAAGAAGGCGGAAAAAAAGAAAAAGAATTCATGTGTTTTATTTATTTCTTCTTTATATAGTCAAAATTTATCGAAATCAATTTTGTAATAATTTTTATTTTAATCTATTAATTTCAAATTTAATAAATATATTCCTTGCAAGTTAACTTTTTTCTATAATGTTTTTTGTTTTATGCTGAAAACTCGAACTTACTTAGTATAGTTATGATGTATAAAAAAATATTGAATCGTTGTTTTCTTATAAATTAATTATGCAACTACTATTATACTAAGTATTTACTATTTGTTTATTTATTTTTGAATATTTTAAATTAATTTATTTTAAACTAAATAATTAAAATTTTGTTTTGACTTAACCATTTAATGATTCAAATTGATATAGTTTTTTATTTTAATATTATTTATTTTTTTGTGCATAAATATATAAAAATTAAATTCATATTCCTTTAAAAATCGATATTCTCATCAACATTAAATAAAAATAAAAAAAATTATTTTATTTGTTCAATTTCGTGTAAGTTTTTATTAATTATTATTTTAGTTTTTTGACACAATCTTATTAAATACTAAAGCTTTTTTAAAAAATTTTCTTTAATTTTTTTAGTTAATAATCCATAGATTAACAAGAATAAATTTTTTTTTAACATAAAAATCATGAAAACATAAATAAGAAATAGTTAAATATAAAATTTTAATTAAAAATTATAAATAATTTTTTTATCTTTGATTTCATAAATTTTGATATATTCATACCATATCACATACTATTAAATTGAAATGATTTTTTTTTTAAATAATTTCATATATTTTATCTAATCCGTAGAGTATCACGAGCAAAAACAACTAGTCATTTTTATTATAGTACCATCATCATCATCATCATCATTATTATTTTTTTATTATCATCTCATACAATGACAACATCATATATATATATATATATTACTATTACTATGGTTACCTTTTTCTCTAGCATCATAAGAGCCTTTACGATCATCTCTATCATTTATAGTATCATTATAATTTATGAAATTAATTTTTAATTATCATTTTTATTTTAAAATTAAATATTAAAAATTTTAAATTCTATTTTGATTTTTTTTTATTCTTCCAAACACACACGAAGTATTTGAATGTAAATATTATTTTAATCTTCTTTTTATTTTTATATTTTCATTTCGAAACTTTTTTTTATACCAAACCAACAGCTTAAAATATAAAATTTTCAGCTCTTAAAAAAAACATATAATTGAAATATCATGGTTCTGACTGACACAATTCTATTTTTTTATTCTCTTATTATAATTTTATAAGTAGTCGTAAAAAAATAATTGGTAATAACAATAATAACAAACAACAACAACAACAAGAAGCTACAAACTACGAAGTGATTGGGTCAAACTGTCATCCCAACTCCCGCTGCAGTCAAAAAAATCCTTTCTTTATAAGGCTCTCTCTGTTTTCTTCAATCCATCTTTCAAAATCAAACCTCTTTCGTCTCAGCCTAGGTTGTCTTTCCTTCGGCTTATTTCACAGGTAAACGATGTTATCCACAAAGTCTTTATACTGTGATCTCTTTGGTTTTTAACAATTTTGTCAGAAATGTAGTTTTAGTTGACGTGATTTACATGGGGTTGCTTTTTTTTTTTTTCCACCTTTTCATTTACTGGAAAATAGAAGGCTTGATTTTGTGAATTATTGTTAGATATACGTATTCAACTTTTCTGGGCTGGATCTTTTGACTTAGCTTGATTTTTTTTTTGGGTCAAGTTGTTTGCATGTATAATCTGGGTAGTTTTAGCTGTTAATGGAAAACCCGCCTATGATTTATGTTATTGGGTTTGTGCTAAATCTTGATCAGATGATAATATGATTGCTGACTTAATTGCAGGGTAACTCTAACTGGGGGTAGCTTTGTTTGCTGATTTTGATGGTTTGAAGGGAGGTATGAAGGACGTCTCTCTTGAGTTTGAGTACTTAGCTGAAGATTTGTGTTGGTATTTGTTGGATACCCTTTGACTTTGTTGTCGACGAATTTCTTGTGTTTCATTTGGTGTTTGCCTCCTTGGTTGAGGAATATACGAAGATTATTGCATTTCTTTAGATGCTTGAAAACTCTGAGTTTGGACTGCACTCTGTGCGGTTAAATCAAGTGCTTGTTTAAGATGAAACTCGTTGGAAAAAGAAATAGATAGTTTTTGTCTGTTTTTGGTGTGGAGCTCAAAAGGTTTTATTCAAGATCAGAACTTTTATAGACTAGTTAGACTAGGTTTTTTTTTTTTTTCATTTAAATGAGTTCAATACACAATACAGTCCATCATTGCTGTGTTGCAAAGGGCAATCGCACCTTGTATGCGTATAATGGGGGAGACCATGAGATTGAGAATTTGGCAGCATTGTGCTTGGAAAGCACTCCTTCATACCACAAGTGGTATTTTGAGACGATTGCTAAAAAAACTTTTGGGTTTTTGATAGAAGATGGTTTTGTTTATTTTACCATTGTTGATGAGGGTATCGGGAACCCAGGGGTACTTCAATTTCTAGAGCATGTGAGGGATGAATTCAGGAAGGTAGCTAGAAAGGGTTCTAGAGGAAGTTTTTCTGGTATGAACTCAATCAATGTACAAGAGCAACTAGTGCCTGTTATTCGTCGCTTGATAACTTCATTAGAGCATGTCTCTTGCAATGATTGGCTTGGTGAGAGTTCCTCATCTGATAATGTAGGCCTCTCTCCATCACCTGTTAATGCTAATCGACAAATTGAAGTTGTCAATTCTACCAAAGCTCCTTTGTTAGGTAAATCAAACAAGCAGGATAAAAGGAAGTCAAAGGATCATGCTATTACCATAAGAGATATTGAGTTAGAAGAGCATAGAAAATCTACCGATAGAGGGGCGAAGCTTGATTCAACTACATCAGATTCCAATAATCAAGGTGGAGTAGGTTCTTCAATATCCCTACAAAAGGATTTGGGTTCAATGAGGATTAGATCAAGCCCTCAAAGCATTCGAAAGAAGTGGTGGCGCCAAGTAAGAATTGTTCTAGCTATTGATGTGGCAATTTGTTTGATTCTATTTGTAATTTGGCTATCAATCTGTGGTGGTTTTGGGTGTACTCGTTGATCTTAAATTTGAAAAAGAAATTCACCTTTTGTTAAAAGTACAAGGACCAGTTTCTTTAGAGAGGTTCAAGTGGATGAAAGTAGCACATCAGATATTGCCAGCTGATTTTAAATAGTGGAAGTATGTGCTGGAAATTACACCGTTGCATCACATAAGTTTAATCAAATTCTGTGCACACTATCGTATCTTCAATGTATATGTACATGCTCTTTTCAGTTGTCTGCTATTGCTTGTGTTTTTTGTTTTATTTATAGTTAATACATTATGGATTATGAGTTGTGATGTAATCTAAAAATCTGTATTCCATCCTTGCAGTATATGCTCTTTTTTATAGAAATTTTTCAGTTGAATTTTCGTATGCTAATGATGATTTCCATCGTTTCTCTTTCATATAGCCTGATGATGTTTCAACATTCTTTCTTGCCTACAAATTAATCTGAAATTTATGGATTAAAACATCACAACAGTGCTGAGTGTTTTCTTTCATTCGTTAAGTGTGTGTTGCGTGTTTTCCTACCCTTTCTTTTAGCAAATTTTCTTGTTGAGAATAGGATTCGGCTTTTCCACTAATTGAATCTCACTTGGTCTGAAAATGGAATATGGTGTTGGAGGTGTCTATCTCTTCGGATGTTTGTATTTTGAGAACATAGGTTTTATTAGCACCAATTATGGAATGTATATAGCGGATAATCAAATTCCAATGGATATATGTGTCTTTATTAATTTTGGTTAATGATCAGAACGTTTTCTTTGTAGTCAATCCTTGGTACTTTTGGGCGGCTTGTCACTGTACCACCAAGCAAAACGCCCACTTTAAATTGCTCTACTATAGATAGCCAAGCTTTACAGGCAGGCACTCTATCTAAATGGGAAATTTATGGATTCGTTGCTGAAACTGCCCCATATGTCCTTTTTGTTCGAAAGCACTTAAACCTGCCCCATATTTCCTCATATCTGCCTCAAGGTGCTGGAAACCAAATTTGACCGAGTCTGGTATGCACACTAATTAAGAGTCAATAAGGTCTTTGATACTGCTGTTTCAATCCTAGTTGAGTTCTGTTGGCGACACTGTCACAATTCGAGTAACGAAGTGGTTCTGATAAGAAAAGAATGCAGCAAGTGGTAATCAGCTTAGAAGGTTCCTTACCTGATGGAATTGATTTAGCGATACTTGAGTCATCAAGTGCAGTAGTGAGTTGTAGAGTAGAGCTTATAGTACTGTGCTGTAGCCATTCCAGATTTTGAGCTAAAGTCATGAAAGATTTCTTTGAATAAATAATGAATTTGAGGAAAGATCCGATTTTTTTTTTCAAGTTTCTCTAGGTTTTGAGTGTTCATATGGCGGACTTGGAATATCATTCATGTACTGGTAGATAGGTTACCGTGCAGATGTCATGGCTATTTCAAATGAGCTTTGTAGTTTCTGCCAACTCCTTCACATGGTCTAGACATCCATTTGCTGGTAGATAGGTCAGGTTTAGCCTACCTGTGCTAGTAATAATTTTGTTTCTTGGAAAAATATAAATGTTCTATTATGGGAACCCTTTTTCCTTTTGAGGCAAGAAGTTTCCTGTTCTTGAATTTTTCGAAATAATCGGCTCCATACAAGACATTGCAAATGAAGCGTAGATTCTCAACAAACACTAATATACATAATGCTTTAGAAGCGTGGATTCATTTCATCTCAGGAACTCCTATAATCCTATTTAAAACGTGCGCCGCCTTTAATCCTTGCAGAAAAGCACGAAATCAGTACAACTAACATACGCTAGTGTTAAAATGTACATAATCAATAAAGGTCAACGATCCGAGAATCAATCATCAGCACTTTCAAATGAAGCCATAATACATATTGGCTGTGAGAACTCACGGGCACATTTCTGTAGTCCAAAGCTCTGTCAAGGAACATCTGCATTTTATCTGCATTTGCTAAGAGAAAAAACATGCATTCATCTTCTTGGAAAATATCTGGTGCAAAAATTCCCTGAAAGAATGCTCAATTAAATTGTATCATGACCCAGATCAATACTGTTAAAAAAACAGTGATTGCACTTCAGTCGACGTCAGCGGCTCTTGATGCTTCCAACCTTACCAAGAACTTCTTCAGGAACACAGACTCTGAATACAGCATAATGATGATTTAAGCTTTTCTCCCCTTGTAGTCTGTGAACACTGCCCAATGCACCAACATTTGGATTGGGGAAAGCATAAAATATCCGTCTAATTCTCTGATGAACAAGTGCCATTGCACACCTTAAAGGTAAAAATGGTCGAGTATTAGTCAAAGGAACATTGAAAAACCTATAAGACAGAAAACAGGTTGAAACAAAAATTAAAAAGAAAGTTGAGTCTCTTACTGCACTCAGTTCGGTTTTCAAGTAGGAAAAGACTATTTTTGAAACATTACAGAAAATAGAAACTAATAAAACGAATGGACTATTAGTTTGACAAACTTACATTATACATGGCTCCCAAACAAGATAGATGTCACAACCAGTGCATAGATAAGGTCTTTCTGATACAGAATTTGAAGGTATTGTAAGAGGATCTGATTCCTTCTCCTTGACCTGAAATAGAATAACATGAAGCTGAGATATATTTCAATTGATCACCTAGAGAAAACACAGTCAATAAAAAAGGTAATGTCATTATTATTTTGAACATAGGCTAAGAATAAGATGTTGCCTGCCAACCATGCCCATCCCCAAACAAAACTCAAATAAAAAGGTACAGAGTACTTGTCGAAAGCCCTATTCTATACGATTGTCCAAAAAAAGTGTTAGAATAATATAAATCATATCTTGAGGTCTCACCTAATAGTTTAAACTTTTAAGTGAGATGGTCTTTTGATATGATATCAAAACTTTTATGACCAAATGGTCGCGAGTTCGAATCTTGCAATTCCTATTTCTCTTCTAATTAATTAAACACAACGTAGTGTGAGCCTGAACAAGTTTTAAGCTCAAAAAGAAATTTTACTTGAGGAGGTGTGTTAGAGAATATTATAAATTATATATTAGAGCCTCACCTAACAGTTTAAACTTTCAGTTGAGATCGTCCTTTGACAAAAAGAACACAGAAATAACTCACATTTGCAACACCCGTCTTATGTCTTTTCGCTAGGGAACCAACATAAGAAGATTGTGAAGTTTCAAAGGACTTCTCTTCAGTATCTCCCAAACCAGGGAACAGGCGTCTGTCCCTGTCAGCAGAAGATTCAATAGCAACAATAGCAGCATGTCGTAAAGGGTGCCAGTAACAAGAATTAGCTGTGTCTAATCGATGCTCAGGCCACTTCCAAGGGTTTAAACAAGACACAGCATAAGACAGACTTTCAGGTTTACTAGGTGAAGTATTTGGAAGCACTGCTGTTACAAGGCTTGCTACTCCATTAGACTGATGAGAACTAAGGGTCATGGACTGCTCGATGCAGTCATTTCTGATGCAAGTCTTGTTTGCGTAAGCATGCCATGAGAAGATTTGATCATGTCCATTTGTAATGATCTGCTGAACTGATGGATCCACTATAACTGCAGCATTGATGATCTGTAGAAATGAGAACAAGAGGCAAGTTCAGACACAATATCTGCAAATTCGGTATAAATGTGCGTTTTGTTATAACTGCAATTGCTTGTTCTGAATCAGGTCGAAGCGAACAACACTCTAGTTTCTCTGGGGAAGTCAAAAGTTACAACATCCAGGTTAAATTGCAACTAGTGTAGTTTAATATCACAAACTGCAAGTTCACAGCATAGTTGAGACTTGAAAACAGCCAAGTACCAGAAAGGCTCAAAAACAAAAAAAAAAAAAAAAAAAATTAGAAATTTTTAGAACCTCAAGCTTTGTAAGGTAAGTAGACTACCCTATCATTGCATCCCTCTACAAAAATAAGTTTAGTTTATAGAAGAAATTACATAGTTACCGAACCATCACCAGATTTTGCCAACTCAATAGCCACTTTCATGAAGCTGAAAACTGAAAGTGAATCCTCTTCACTGAATCCAGTAATGCCATCAATATTGCTGAAATTAGAAGAAAAGAAAAGAGCAAATTCAAGTTAGGACAGCCTAAAACATTTACATCATAACAGTGGGAATTTAGAAGAAGAGTACAGAAAAAGAAAGGGGATTTTAAGGGGATTTTTTTTTATTTATTTGAAGAAACCAATTTTTTTGTTTGTGTTTTTGCTGCTTTTCTCAATAAAATTTCTTTTAACTAGAAAATGGTTTGTGAAGCAGTTATAGATATCTACCATGGAGTTCAAAATTCATACTTCCTTGGTCCCTTGATCTATGCCCTCAGCTCTTTTCTTCACAAATATTGAATTTATTATCAACAGTAAGAAAACAAAGTACAAACAATTATGTCAACCTTTTAATTTTCTCTGAAGTATAATATAACAATGCACTTTTAAATTTTTTCATAATGTCAATAACTGACAAAACTAAGAGAACGAGCATAATAATAAGATCTTAATGAATCAGGACCTAGCAGAAAAATGTTGTATGCATAAAATGAAGCATTGATAGCTCAGACTCTAGGATTTTGGTTCAATTACACAGTTTTCTAACATTCTTCAAAGCATCCAAATCCAGAATCCTAAATTTTGACATGCCATCAACTCAAACTCTTGAGGGAGAGAAAGCACAACAACTTTGCCAGGATGTGAAAGTCAGGATCCTACCTAGGACCAATGGATTTTAAATTATAGGATAACCATAGAAGACAACCACTAAGATTATGTTAACATTGACAAGATGTGAATTCAGAAATAGGCAAGTAAGACAACTGATAATTGTATGTATAAAACAGAAGCAATCAAGCATGACAATCAAAAGCTGTATGTTTTTTTCATATATAAAAAAAAAAAAAAAAGAAACTAAATGTAGTGTAATGAGTAGAAGTTTTATTTTTATTTTTTATTTTTTGGAATTGGAAGTGTTACTAGTTCTTTAAACAAAAGAATAATGACTAGTAACCGGAGAAAAGCAAATAAAGTAAATTAAAGGGGCTAAGCTTTTATTAGGAGTTTGAGCCATTTGTCAAACCAATATAACATAAATAGAATTTGTAGAAAAAAGTTCCTTAAGATACAAATGTTGATGAATTGAATAAGAGAATCCAGAGGAAACAAATTAAGAAAAGAAAAATATCAACGCAGGTTTTTCTACTAGAATGACTTACCCACTGATATAGCACATTATAAATGGACACTTCTAAGCAGACACTACACATATAAGCCAAGGATCATACGAGGACCCTGATTGCAACAAACATGCCACTTGGTAGCACCCGCCACAGAAAGGGTGCTCAACTCCTCAGTCAAAGAAGCAAAAAGTTGTTGGGATTCCAAATTTTGTTTCTTTCCGATACGAAAGAGCAGAAAGAAAAAGAAGTCCCTTAACACTTATATTCTTTACTGTTAAAGTAAAAACCATTTGCACATGACTTAGTAGTAACTATACAATGAAGAAATAGGGAGGCAAAAGCATAAAAGAAGTGATATAGAACCATAATATAGAACTTACTAGGTAGGTGGATGATATGAGGTTGGCCATAGCTTGCACTGTTCTTCCCACTCTTCTTTAGATGTTGCAGCATATTTGCAAACCTGGAATTGATTAAAGTTTACATGTGAAACAACGAGTGTCTTAAATAGATCAAAAGTTTATCTCTAAAAGTATAAGACATCAACCTTCAGTTAGATCAAGTAATCTTCAAGCCACAAAATGCATATTGATCAAATGAAATAGTATTATTCCACAAATTGAAACTTGTGATAAAAGTTAAAAGTAATGCTATACTAGAATCTGTTATTCCACAACTTGAAACCTTCATTCATTAAAAGACATGATTGAATTGAAATAAGTACCCTCCTCACTTATCTCTCAATATGTAATTGCATTCATACAATTTAGCATAGAAATTTATATTTTAGAAAATAATGTAACGTTAGGATGCTATTGGGGGGGGGGGGGGGGGGGGTCAATAATTGATTTGTTAATTTACCATTTAATATCCAAATCAAGGCCACAACCTTTTTAGTTTGCAAGTTTACAAGGTTTGATCCTAAAATGAAATTAATAATTAATATATGCATCTTATAAGAAAAAAGAATAACCCACTTTTGTAATAAAAGGACTCAACTGGTAGGAATTGCTTAGCTCTTGTACATCTTGTGGCAAGCTGTTCAACTGACTGTTATCCTCAGAAACAAGACATAAAATTACTGAAAGCTGAGTTTTTCCTGTCAAAGAAAGCACTCTTTTACCACAGCATCATCAATATATCAATATACATCCCAAGTACAAAAGAGAAAAAGTGGCATGCACAGATGGGTATGATTCCCAATAACATTCTTCAAATGGAGCCGAAAAAGCAACCATGATAAATCAATGAGCAGAACTTGTAATTTCAAGGATGATCATTTCGTTGAAAATTTAAATACAAAAAATGAAAAAATAACTAGGAAAAGAAGCATGCTTTCAGTCGCTGCAGTTCACTTATTAACCAACACAAGAAAATATCAGTAGACCTGTTGTGTGTCATACACCAAGCACTAAAAAACAACAGCCCCATATTGACAATTATTTAGTTCTTATTTCTTAATTGTGCAAAAAATACTTACAATTACATTAAAAAAAAAAATTGCAATTCTGGGGGTTTTCCTAATGTGTCAGGAAAAAAAAAAAAGAAATGAAAAATCCAGTACCTCCTTCCAGATGATTTTTTCGAATCCGCTTGACATGGCGTAGATTTTCAAATGGAGCTATCTGATTTAAACGCCTACATTATCATTAAAAAAGAACTCTTTCACGTTAAAAAATCAATAAAAATCTACATAGTCTCAAATAAAATAACAGAAGAGAGAGCTTAAGTTTTTTAACGAAGCGGGAGTGTCTAACCTTATAAGAATATTAGCACACTTTGGCTCAATAACTGAAGCAAACACATCCACTGCACGATAAACCAAGAAACAAAGAAATTCAGATTTATTAAAATAGAAAAGCAGAGTGGTAATGGGGGTGTTCGGCTTTGATTATCTCACCGGTGGGTTGCTGGTTAGGTGGGATTGGTGGTTTGTCAGGGATGTGGACGATTTGCCACGTGCACGTCGTGTTGTTGTTCATCTTCCTCTTTGGTTTCGTTGAAATTTTTAACAAGAGAGAAGAGGTTTCTGAGATGTTTTTTAGGTTTTGTAATTTAGGGCTTCTGAAATTTGGTGGACTGGGTTTAATTACTTGGCTGGTGAATACTTGCAGCACTAATCTGACGTCGTTTCTTAGCTGTGCTAAGGGATGAGTGATGAGCTAGGGCACAATCAGCACCATAGTAATTAAAACGGTTAATCGCATCAAACATCCATCTATTATTCAGTTTTTCTTGATGATCTTCCTGATTGTTATTTTATCAATTTTCCAATTAAAAGTGACAGTTGATATTAAAAATTCTATACATGTCAGTTTAATTTGATTCGTGAAAAAAAAAAAAAAAAAATTAAACTTTCAACAAAATTTGTTGAAAATGAAAAAACAAAAAAAAAACATCTCTTTTTCTTCTTCTCGCTCGTCTAAAAACCAAGTGCAAAAAAAATATATATATATATATATCTTCTAATATCCTACAAATTACATGCTAATTGTAAGTAAGAGGACAATCAATTAATCAAAAATCACTATCAATTAATCAAGAATGACATTAAACTTGTCACCTCCACACAAATGCACTTCCTAAAACCCTTTCTTCTTCTTTCTAATCAAATTTCATTGTTGTTAGTCTAAGTTTATCGAAAGCCATAGCCACTGCTACTTTGATAATCTCAAAATCCAATGAAAATAAACTCAATCTTTGCAACAAATGATAATGGCATTGCTGACACTCCTTTCTCCACTAATGGTCTTGCTCCTTCAATAGCTAAATCAAAGTATGTATAAAGATCAAATCTTTATTATAATTTTTCATATGGCCAATGCCAATTTTTGAAAATACTCATTTTTTTTTATTTGTTATCGATTAGTGTTGAAATAAAGAGGCTTTTCCATGGACAACTTGTCCATGAAATTTGGAAGACGAGCTTGCATATGCAAGCCATGGCTAGCTTTATATGCAAGCTACAACGGCTTGAATTGAGGCAAGTGCAAGTTAGGGGAGGCCTATTCCCACCTTAGTTCAATTCATAACCAAAAAAGAGAGAAAAAAATAGAGAAAGAGATTGGTTCCTAGAAGAATATAGAGAGTATTTTTCCTATTTCAATAGAGAAATTTATTGTTTTCACCTTGTAGTATAGAGAGAGGTCAGTAGCTCCTATTGTTTCTCATAGTGAAGTTCTTCTATCTTATCCGTGGTTTTTTTTTTTAATTTGTTTAAGTGTTTTTCACGTAAAATCTATATATTCAATATCGTTGTTTTTTTGACAAATTTATTAACTACGAATCCTCGCTCTATTCGGTCGGTAACACAACAAGTGGTATCGTAGCCTATTTTAGATCCCGCAAATGCATGTTATTATAGCAAGAAAGAGTACGTGATAGAAGCAATGACGGTAAAGTTAGAAATTGAAAAATTCAATGGGACCAATTTCTCATTATGGAAGTTAAAGATAAAGGCTATCTTAAGAAATGATAATTGCCTAGCAGTCATCGGCGAAAAGCCAAAAGAATACACAGATGACAATAAGTGGAACAAGATTTTTCGCAGGACGACGTCGGGTGGTGAGGTAAAATGTAGGGCAAATGATTGGAGTCGCCACCTAATATTACTAGTTACTAGGAAACCTCATGACCGGTCTATTCCGAGTTTTGGGTAAGGGGTTTATTACGTGTAGGGAAGACCAAAAGTTATCATATCCCGTCTTGCCTAAGACAAGTCGTATTGTATACAACCTTAATTTGACTTCGATAAAAGTGTCCCTTTGTCGAGTGATTCGGGACTTGGTCGGTCGAAGACCTTGTCCTTACTCCGTAATAAATGGCTAAAAATGATGAACATGAGGATATGCTCGTTAGTGCGACTCAAACGACATGCATGAGAAACAAAACTTAAAATAGGCAAATAGGCAAACAAACAAGACAGGAAAAATGATATAATAGGCAACACGGATAGAATATAGAAAAATTAGCAAAAAATCAACAAACACGTAAATTGGCAAAATCGGTAAATAGGCAAATAAACAATTAGGAAAAAATCGACAAATAGACAAAATAGGCAATCATAGGCGTAAATAGGCAAACTTAGGCAAAATAGGCAATCATGGAAAAAAATTGGCTAAAATCGGCAATTTAGGCAAAAACGAGCAAAAATCGGCAACTTGGGAAAAAAATAGGCAAAAATCGATAACTTTGGCAAAAATAAGCTAAAGTCGACGATGAAATAAAAAATCGACAACTTTAGGTAAAAGTAGGCTAAAATTGACAACGAAAAACGAAAGCCACAGACTTTGGCTAAAATTGACAAGAAAAAACGAAAGCCACAGACTTTGACTAAAATCGACAACGAAAAACAAAAAGTGACGACTTTGGCTAAAATACGCTAAAATTGGCAAAGAAAACGAGCACACATAGGCAAAAATTAACGAGAACTAACAATAGGACCAAAATAAGAGAAAACGTAAAAATTGACGAAATTAATCGCTTTAGCATACATAATCAATCATTTTTGACGAAAACGTAATTACATAACAACATTTCAAACTTACTTGGTTCGGCGTGTGTTTTTATATTAAAAAACAATTTACCATACAAGATGCGCTTTTGAAATATGCGTTCGACTAACGACAAATATCCACACGTTCAAATTAAGGCCTCATTCATCATCATGCCGCCAAAATAAAATAAAAAATACACATCATCGGAATTCAAGCAAGTTACACATGAATAAATAGATCAAAATAATCATATCACATTCATTTAATTAATTACGTACACATATCAATCATAAATCAAATTTAATACATGTTAAAAAAATAAATAAACTAAAGCAAAAAGAAAGTGAAAAAAAAAGATTACCGTAAAGAAAAATTAGCTAGGTCAATTCGCTTGGCGATCTCGAAGTCAATCCGACCTTTTCAACTCCGATGGAGATCAATATTTAGTTAACCTAGGGAGGAAAGGTGGATGGAGCGGTGGTCGTTGGCGAAGGCGCCGGCGCGTTGGAGCGAGGAGTGTCGAGGCGCCGGCAAGGCGCCGACAGAGGTAGCGCACGCACCGACGAGGAACCGGCGTGCGCCGGCGGAGGGGCCGCCGCGTCGTCGTGGGAGCCGCCGCCGGCGTGGGGAAGAGGGCTCGGCGCCTAGGGTTCTTCGGAGGTAGGGTGAATAGTAACCGGTGGCTTTTTGGGAGGAAGGGGGTGTTTTTATACTAGGTATTTTTTAGGATTTTTTCGCTAAAGGTCTTTTTGGTCCCTCACTTTACAAACTCTCTTTATTTTGGCTCCTTTCTCATTTCTTTTTCAATTGTGCCCCCAATTGCATATTTTTTCTTTCCTTTATTTTTTTCTTTTCCTTTTTTTCTTTTTTTCTTTTTCTCTTTTTTTGGACCAAAAATTGGATGTTAACAGTTGCTCCCTCTTTACAATGCTTACGACGCGAAGCCATTGAAAATTTGATTTTTCTTTGGCTTTGCGTAGTGAGCTTGTAAAGAAAATCATAGAAGGGCGATAATCAATTGACAAAGTCCATTCAAAGGCCTTCTTCGAACACAAGTTGATGCAAGTGATCATCCTCGTGGTCAAACAGGTGACTTTCCTTTGACAATGCACCGCAGTATGAGCGATGTACCTAAGACACAAAAATTGTTACTACTAAAACCTACACTTCCCTCTTGGTCGCGGTACATTTTCATTGGGCTAGGTTCGTGATTTCTAGGCCGGTCGCTCTCGTGGGTTTTTATCTACTTAATCGCACGTCTCCCGAATCCTTTTTTTTTATCGGCCAACTTTTTACACGCATACTTGGATCGTCATTACCAAATGCTTTATTCATTACCATTGCATATTGATGAGGTATACTCTCCGAAATGGTCGAAGCAACCTTTGATTATCGTTGTATACTATTCACAGTGTTTTTTTTTTACACAAAGAGTTAATGAAAAAGTCTTTTCATTTATCAAGGGTGAATAAAATTCCTATCATTCCTATCATTTGTCATAAATAACATTAAGCATTAGATCATGCATTAGACCAATAAAAGATTCTTATTCATCTTTCAAGGATTGATCACCTTGTGAGAGCGGGTTATTTTGATAGATAAAGAAAAAGTCAAGAATGGTTTATATGGGGTGGGCAAGAAAGAAAAGAGAAGCAAAAGTAAAACGATTAAACTAGAAAATATTCAACATAATTTTGATCATTTCCTTTTTGCAACCGAACAGAGAAAAACTTTACATGCTCAAGCATGATATTTCTTTACAATGTCGAATTCACCAACTTCGACAAGACCTCACCATCCATCTTCATCAAAAGGAGGGCTCCCTAGAGAATGCTCTTTTTACCACATACGGACCCTTATAATTGAGTGCCCATTTACTTCTTTTGCCCTCGGGATCGGGAGTACTCTCTTCAAGACTAAGTCCCTTTCACCAAAAGTTCTTATGCGGACTTTCTTATCATACGCCCGAGCAATTATTTTTTGATACAATTGTGCATGACAGATGGCTACTAACCTTTTCTTACTAATCAAGTTCAGCTATTCATATCCGATTCGAGCCCATTCGAGGCTCATCTAGCTCGCTTCTTTTAACACCCTCGCAGATGGTATCTCTATTTCCATGGGTATCACCGCCTCCATCCCATATACCAATGAGTACGAAGTTGTCCTAGTTGATGTCATCATTGTCATCCTATAAACATGTAATGCAAACGATAACACTTCATGCCGCTCTCGTACGTGACTACCATTTTCCGTATGATCTTCTTTATGTTCTTATTTGTAACTTCCACTGCTCCATTTATCTTGGGTCTATATGGAAAAGAATTACGGTGTTTGATTTTCCACTCGCTCACATAATTTTATAATCATCTTGCCATTGAAATTTTGTACATTATCCATGATTAGGGTCTCCGGAGGCCCATATCAACAAATGATGTCTTTCCGTATGAATCGACGGATAACTCTTTAGGTAACATGTGCAAAAG